TTTCCCTTTTGCCCTTTCTTTTGTTTGATTTAATCCTCTATTTCATTTATTTTTTTGCCCAAGAGTGGCTTTTCGTACTGCCACCTTCTCATTCCCTCCCTTTTCTGCATCCAGGAGAGCCAAGACAGCAGCAGATGGCTCAGCCCTGGAAGGGTGATGGGGAGTCCCTACAGCCCAGAGCCACACCGGGGCTGAGCTTCAATGGTTTGGTGAGGATTACCTGCTCTACGTTCTCAGCTGTTTTACCTCAAGGCTGAGAGAAGAGCTATCACCCTAAATAAGACAGAAGGCCATTCTGAGATGATGAAAGTCTTCAGCAGCCGGAATGCCATCTCCTTTTGTGAAAGACTATCTTACTCCTCTTCATAACTCCACCAGGAAGGTTTTCATTTTTAAAAGCTCCTCTTTCACTTCATGATGTACCTTCATACAAACACTATCCGACGCATGACACAAAGAGATGCTCGGTGCCTCCTGTTGGACCATGGGGTACTGAGCGCACTGCTCCTCCTGATTGCAGGGGAGTTAAGACCCAAAAGGCTCCCGGGGTCCAGGCCTCCATGGTCCAGCTCTTCAAACACATCTTGTCCACTCCCTACCACTGTCCAACTGGGGGGCTCCAGAATCAGGAAGCTAATTACTCTCCTGCAGAATAATAATAATATTGAAAGTAGCTAATCTAGACTAATGCTGCTCTTGTGGTGTTGGTGAAAACTTACAAAGAACCCTAAGAAAAGCAGATCATCGGATCACCCAGGGTGGGGGGGAGGAATGGCAATTTTAAGAAATTCGTAGCATATTTATTCACCTCTAAGCAACAGCACTTGATTGTCTGTGTAACAGGTCGTTTAAAGCTTGTTTGATTTCATTCTGTAGGTATATATTGTATTTATTGCATGCAAATGAGACACTGTGGAGTACTTACCCCAGATTAAAACAATGTACCTCAGTGGTATAAAATACAAAATGACTGTGGCTGCTGCCAGGACCAAGCAGGCCAGGACAGAGAGGAAAGGCACTGTCCAGTTGAATGTGCTGTAAAGAAAAAAAATAGTATTTCTCAACATTTCTGCTCTTGGACACTGCTTGTACTCTGCTCCCCAATGATAATTTAAGGACCTCTTTGCAGTGCTTGGTGCTTTCATATGCACTGTAAATTGCAAAGACGCTTTGGAAGGTGGATAAGCAGATTCCTGCATCTGGATGCTATAATGGATTAAGGGATATATCTGAGAGGCAGATATCATGATAAGGAGAGAAGATAGTCTCTGGGGAGCTCAGTGAAGTTGTTAGGCATGTAGCGAGTTGTTTTTGTTTCTTCTTATACGTGTCACACTTGTTACATATCCCTGCTCACCAGTCAGCTCTCCATTATTCATGGGCGGATTATCTGATCTGGAGACAAGGCCACGCCACAGGTGCAAGCCATCTGAGCTGGCTCCACTGGGCCACAGTGGAGATGAGATGGGACGTGTGGCAGCACGCGACTCAAATGCAGCAGGTAGCCAGACTCAACCCTGCCAATAACTTGGAATGGATTAATTATGACTGATGCTAAACCTTAAAAGAGCAGTTAAAGTCATTTCTCTGTATACTATTAGGGAATAATAGTCTCTATAAATCTCTCTTAATATTTACATATTTGCTTCTATTTCCTTACGTTTTCAACAATTCCTTAATACACTCTCTGGGGTAAGCTACAGTATGCTAGCAGCAGTCCAAGCTTCTGCGCACCACCATCCTGCATCAGATTTTTCCCAAGGGGAACACTCTCAGGAGGCTCAGTTACTACAGTCCCTCAGACTTCTGCAGCGTTGCAGCACAGAACAGGACTTCCTCTCACTCAGACCACTCATCTGTAAGCCCACAACAGACTTCAGGTGAGCAGCTACCGCTAATATATCTTTGAGGTTATTTTGTGTCCCCGTGCCCTCGTAAGATACACATCTCTGCAGCATGCACCAAACATTGGGATACCTGGACTACATGAATGCCAATTAGTCCACAGGTGGATTTACAGATCTGGGGCTCTCTGTTTCATACAATCTGCCTGCTAACTTCATCACATCATGATGACGGGGAGTAGGAAGAAGAGAGAATGAATGTGGACCACTTATCAGGCTATAAAATAAGACGAGCTTCCCTTGACAGATAAAATTAATAGGACACTAAAAGAATTACTTTTTAAGCTTCAATAGATGTATTAAATATTAAGTAAAGATAGGTGGGAGAGGACCCATCATTATCAATCAACGTAGCTTAAGTTAAAGTAAAAAAAAATAGCAAAACAGCTCAATTCAGTTAAACTATTAAAACTCCCTATGATTGTATAACTAGAGTGACAGGCGGAAACTGTAGCACAATTCAGTCTGTCACTTACAGAAAAACTTTGGTGGCAATTTTTTAATGGTACATTACTGTTGAGTTACAACGGAATTCTTCTGAAATTACATCGGGCATCCACATTAATACCCAATGTGTTCTTTAAGACCATTGTTACCAAAATGAATACAAGAATTAATAGTGCTTAAGCACTCTGAGCCTTCCTGCCATGCAGCTGGGCAGAACAGTGCCCCGTTCATAGACTGGAATACATCTCTGGGCCACTTCCACCCCAGCTGGGGTGTCCGGCATGGGACCACAGCATATGTGTTTGCTGTATTTTTAGCTTGAACCCAGCTCCTCATTAAAGTGTGGCTCGATCACAAACCATCACTGTGTTCAAAACAGAAAACAATGTGGGTCAATTAAGCTCCAATGAAGATCAGGTCATAAAAGTTTGTGTGGGGGATTTTTTTTTTAGGCTTTTCACCTCCCTGCTTTGTAAGGTCAGGAATACCCTATGTGCCTCCCCTTGCAACAAGACCCAGAAAACCCCCTTCAGGCTTCCTCGTGGCACCAGCAGGAAGCAGACAGCTCAAAACGATAAAGAGAGAAGAACATCAATGCATTGGGCAGGGAAATAAGTGACTCCTAACCCCTGTAACCAGGCCAGGGTGGGGAGGGCGTGGGAAAGAGAACATCAGCCATCAGTTCCTACCTGCTGTCCGTGAAAGAAATGAAAAGAAATGCCTGATACTTCTGCACCCACATCTTCAAGCAATGCTTTCCCTTGTGTGGCATCATGACTCCCTACCCCATCACAAACGGACAAGACCAGAAATCTGGGCAAATGTAAGAGCTACATCAGTAGAGCACATGGATTCTCCTCCTCTCTATGCTTTGGAAAGGTTTTTGGAGTAAAAGTCTTCAAGAGAAAAAGTGGTGGGACTGGCCAGGTTCTCCTGCTGCACCTTGCAGTAATTTTTGGAGCAAGACATTTACTCCACCTTAATCCTCCTGGCTCTGCTTCATGGCAAATCATGGCTAGGCAAGAAAAATTCATTACTTACTTTTTAATCCTCTCTCCAAATGATGCTATTTCTTCCAGGATGCTTTGAACAGCTATGATGATCTCTTGGACCATGTGGATTCTGTCAATTAACCCCTTTTTCTCAGATTCCTAACAAAACAAAAAAAAAAGAAAACCCAAACTTTTTATACATTCAGTATTTGTTAACATATACACATGAAAAAAGTAAGATTCCCAGTACTTCCGACACATCCATGAACTCAAGCATACCACTGAAGGAAGGAGAGAACACACACCCTGGGTTTTTCACATACTATTAACATGAAGACATAGTTTCCTATATTTTCTTCCCCCTCCCCAGCACACAGGCAGAGGTTTCTACATCTTCTATCACAAATTGACTGCAGGATCTCAAATCAGGCTTTCGCTGAAGAACCCAGCTGCATGCCAAGCCAGAAGAGATGCTGAGCACCCGAGTCCAGTTGACCTGTAGAGGAGTGCTGGGTGCTCAGTGCTTCTCAAGAACAAGAATATTCTTGTAGAGAAGTTCTGAACATCACTTTTCTGAGCTTTGTAGACTTCTAACAGCCATGCTGTTTTCTGTATATAAATTAGCAGCAAGATAGCAAATACAACATTTTTTTCTGAACATTCTGCATACAGAGATCTATTCTTTTACTGGAAAAAAAAAAGACTCAAAGGAAAAAAAATGTCATTTTCCTTTTACAGCAGCCATCTCGCAACTTCGTTTCTTACTGCTTATTTTAGGCACCAACATTACAGGACATTACTACACATGTGCAGAAATAAAAAGGAAGCACAGAATGAATTAAAAATCAAAATGACTTAAATCAGCCTTGGAAATCAGTATACAATTATCAGCATTCAGCATTTCTTTGCCAGCAATCTAACACACATACAGGCATGCAAATTGGTGTGGTTGCAGATATTCTAGCAAGAAATCAGCAAAACATTCACTTATTACAAAATGCAGAGCCCTGGACACTGATTTTACATCACATTTAGACTCTCCAAAATCAGCCCAATTTAGAAAAAAGACATTTTAAATTGTGTTTTAACCAGTCAGTGCCCAGAGAGGGGAGATGCTTGTAAAATGCAAGCTGCATCCACGTTCTCCACGGTCCTCAGCGGCCAGGGCAGGGGAAAGGGCGGGTAGGGGGAACCAAGAGCCAGAAATACTTGGATCAACACTGCTGCAATTCTGCTTCTGTGTGGTGAACCCACGTTATTTCTCCATAAAGAATAGAGAGGGTCAGAGGCTACTTAAAGTCACACTGGGCTAGAGAGGTGAAGGCTCATTGGCACTGCTGTGCTGTGAGAGGGTTTGTGTGCATCGGAGAGGGCACCGCGCTACGTTGTCGTGTGCCAGAATAACACATGAACCATCCTTGGATGCTGAGAGGCAGACATGACAGCACAGCCCTTGTAACCCTTTGAATTACTTACTGCCCATGTCTCTTCACAGTAATTTTTGAGTTTAAAAAGCCAGCCAAAACCACCACGGAGTTATCAAGCTCCAGACATCTGAATATTTGCCGTTAGGTTGCAAGTGAGTGCACAATGAATAGAACCAGCATTTTAAATAATCACACATTTGGGTGTGAAAATGAGTATTTTTACATTAATAAAACAACCAACAAAAAATGAAACCCTTGGGGTGTGAAATAACCCCAGAACAAAATAAATAAATAAATAGTCAGTTTATGTGAAAATAGCACCAAAAAGTCATTTTCACAGAACTCTAGTTATAACCTTGTTAGGCTCAAATGTAAATGACACATTAAGATTATATTTAACTATTCACTCGCTAGAATGGTACGACGGTCCCTTAGCCACAGTTGGCTTTTTCGCACCAAACTTGGAAGTAGAAGTTGGGGAGCAGTTCATGGAGAACCAGCCAGTGGGAATGTCATTCTGTCCCAATTCAGACAGAAGGGTAAAGAAACCACTTTAGATGAAGTGATATTCCAGGGCAAGCCTACTCTTGCTACCCAGAGCTGCAAGGAATATCATCTGTCAGCTCTATCTGCATCATGCTGACTTCATTTACACGTCTTCGATTGAGCTTGGGAACGTGGTGATAAGGCAGTTTAACCAATACAACATAACTTCTGCTGCAGCCACTAAGCAGACTAAGAAAATAAAACAGAAACTACCAGTTCCTAGGCTATAATGACATTTCCATGCATATTCTTACCTAGCACGTATGCTAAAATCACCCCTAGACAACAGCATTTTCAATTTATAATACAAAATATGCCCAACCAAGGAAAAAGCAGAGGCAGGCTGGGATTAGAAAGTCTTGCAAATGAAATTGGTTATTAAAAAGTAAAATAGGTTAGCAACTGCCCTTGCAGCATGCGCTGCAATATGCGTGCAGAATCATTTGAAAATCCTGAAAATTTGTCAACATCTTTTCTTTGTTATTATTGTTTTGTTCTGGAAACCTGCAGTCTAAATACATCTACAGGATAACTAGGTCACTGGTTAAGCAAGAGAGAAGCAGACAAATGAAGTACGACAAACGGGATTTTCCAAATTATTTAGATTTTGGAGTGCTGTTTATGCTTTCCAAAGTCAGCACCTCACAAAACACTGTCAGAAGCAGTAGGGAGTTAATCCTCCATCAGGACAACAGTCACTAGTCTGTATTTATTAGTAAATGCCAACTGTCATGCAGAAAGCTATATTTCAACATTACCATATTTGCGGAAGGCGCAAAAAATGATCCTAAACATCTTCCACTAAACACGCTTCCTCATCTGTGCGAGGTCCCACCGCCCAGATAATTTTTCTCCATCCTCCTCAGGTATCATTCCTTTCTGATTTCCTTTGGACTCAACATATTATGCTGCTTGAAAACAGGATTTGGATACCCATGGCTCAAAATCAGAGCTCTGAAGCCTTTGCTTGAATTAAAAATAAAATATCCTGCCTGTTTCTGGCATTTTTTTTTTCCTAAAACCAGTCGTGAAACTTCCATTCCTTCGAGGCCTTTTTCTTCTTTATTTCTTAGCTGATTACAGCACTGTGGGTGGACCAAAACTAGTCTTCAGCCTCTGGGAAGGAATTAACTCCATCAAAATGAATTTACAACTGAGAATTAATTATACAATCAGTGTGTTACTTCAAATCTTCCTTGCATATCCTGATTTAAGAAACCTTCACTTCTACATTAATAGCCTGAACAAAAACACAAAAGAGGTCTTACAAAAGATTAAGCATGTCAGGGGAAGGAAAAAAAAAACCCAACACCCAGCAAATTCAGAAATTAAGTCTTTTGTGTCCAGCTAATGTACATCAACTCGTAAATCAAGACAACCAAATCCCTGCCATACTGAAAGGAAGGTTCTTCTGGATTTTTCTGTTTCTGAAATAAGTAACAGATAATAAAAAGGACATGTAAATGCACTCAAAGGGTTACTACA